CATTCATCTCCACACATTTGCACAGAATACAATTTAGTCTAATTTTCTCCAGCCTGTAAGTGCTTAGAGATTCAATGGCTTTCTTAACCTCATTACCTCCTAATACTTCTCCTTTCCCCTTCGTCTATAATGAAATAGGATAAAGTCATTTGTCATTGTCACATCTCTTTTCCACTTGTTTTCTGTTATGCTTGTTTTATTGTAACCCCTAACAATTTTATGACAAACGCTGATACATATAGGATAAATGAAGAGAAGCTATGGGGGCGCATCATATATAATTTTTTTTTTGCAACTGAAGTCCCCACAGGTTGGCGTGTTGTCTAGGTGAAACACCCAAAAGAAATAATAAACACAAGCATATAACCCAATTACTAAAGACATTTTTATTAGAAGTCAACAGTTAATGCTGAGCTAACTTGCCCTTCATTCCCATTGATTTTGTTGCAGTTTTATAAAATCTCTGAGTTGGCTTGCAGAAAGATGATGCACAACACTTAATCATAAAGCTGTGCTTGGTATTATTTTTGGTTAAATCTTAAGTAAGTAACCCTAATTTGTATCTTCTACTGCCAACTGTCACTCAATGAGCATAAGACACACACAACTGACTACATTTACATGTTAGAAAAACTGTCTATCCATAGAGATTGGTGAGGATTCCCAATTGTCCAGACACTTTTTTTATTTATTTCATTTAAACAACAAAAACAAACATTAAAAATAAACAAAAAGCACAATATCATTAAATGGAAAGGAGCAGAGAGAAGAGAATAATCTTATATCTGCCCCCAATTAAAACAATATCCACACACACGATATTCATCAACAAAAAAATAAAAATAAATAAGAAACTATTATTTTTTCATCCAATGAACAGCCGAGAGAGAAAAAACTAAAACAAAAAAACAAGAACAAATGTAAATTGTTCAAACATAGACTGCCCATCCCAACTTTTCAAAAACAAAGTTTTGACCCTTCTTCTAAATGATTGAATAGTACCAGTAGTTTTGCGGTCCTTTGCTAAATTGTTCCACAGTTTGATACCCTGAAGTGCATCTCTCTTTCAAGCTTCTTCTAATTTTTGGTAAAACAAACACCTCAAATCCTTTCAAATTATAAACACTTATCCTCTTAGTAAAATAAAATTGTATTGCAAAAGGTAAAGCATTGTTATGAGCTTTATACATCATCAACAGAATTTTATAATTAACCAGATCATAAAACTTCTATAATCTCAACTGACTAAACAAAACATTAGATGGATGACAACAATGTTTTCCTGTCCAGACCATATCTGTTCAATTTATCAAGAAGAATGCTGTGCTCAATAGTGTCAAAAACTTTCTTTAGGTCTACGTTAACAGTAACAGTATTTTTTTTTTTTGATCCACAGCATTGGTTATATTTTCTATCAAATCCATAAGAGCCATAGTTGTTGAAAAACAAGCTCTAAAGCCATGCTGGCTATTACTCAAAATATTGTGCTCATCAACAAATTGGTCCAATCTCTTTACAAACAGTTTCTCCAAAATTTTAGAAAACTGAGGTAATAATGATATAGGTCTATAATTAGAAAACAAAAATTATCACCACTCTTGTAGAGAGGAATTACCTTAGCAAACTTCATACCGTCGGGAAATATCCCAGTCAAAAATTATAAATTATATACTGTATGTAAGTAAAAGGCTCAATAACATAACATAACATAACATAACAGACAGCTGAAGGTAGAACCAGCCGGTACGAATTTTATAACCACATAAAACACTGCTGTGTACCAGCACACCCACCTTTGTGTCCGAACCACATCCACCCTCAGACACAGTCAAACGCCCACTACGAGTGGCCCCTCCCAATTTGAATAAATAAAAAAGAGGGAGAAAGGTGAACGGAATTGGCCAACATGTTAAAAAGGAAAGAAAAGGTGATGGATAGAGTAGAGAAACTAAGTGGGGGAAAAGGAAAAAGTTATTGCAAGATGCAACCAAATGTTCAAAATGAACAGATATTTCTGTGATGGAGGGGTCGAGGTAGGACTATAATCAGCCAGGCCAGTGATAACACTGTAGGAGTGAGCTTAAGGTGAATTAAGCTTTTCCCATGTCTCTCATACACAAGGTTCTGAGGAAACTTTTACCAAGGTATTTCTCATTACTTGTTAATATCTTGACTGTGCGAAGTGAAAAGTGGCACAATAAGTGAACGTTCAGACGAGTTCAAGTTGATTCATAAAAGACTATGCAATCATTTATTTACACAAATTGAACAGATCATAAGTTACACTTGATTGTGGTTATTCCTATAACAAGCATCAGAGTTAAATGAGATAAAACCCGCGTCTGAATTTCAATTCACATCAACTCAGATTACTTACAAAGAACAGTAAAAGGTCACTTCTGATGTTAACAACCAAACAATTTTACTGGCACTTTTAGCTTAAGTTTGGCAAATTAAGAACAAGGAAAGGAGGAACGTAAGATTATGTTACTACGACTTTTACTTTTATCAAAGTGTGGGTCAACTGGAACTGCACGTCTTTTCTAAGCTCAGGTTCCACATGGCACGTCACTCCGAACACATCAGCTTTTACCTGGTGATGACTTCTTAAGGCACCCTCTGGGTAGGGGCTGGCTCACCTCCGATCAGTCAGGGAACTGATGTCGGCTCGCTTACCGGTCATTGGTGAACAGGTGTTTTTCTAGGTAACTTTCGTCTGTTTCAGTCCAAGCCAGAAAAATTCAAGCCATATCAGGTTCCTATTTCCAAAATAAAGTCTCCCCTCAGGAGTTAAAAACGCACTCAGAGGCTCAGCTTCGGGGTGAGACCACCGGCAGGCATGCCGGGTCCCTGGCTGTGAAGTCTTCCCTAGTTAGCTCATGGGATCCGACTTAAAGCCAAACTGAGGTTTCTCCTGAGAGAATCCCAGCTGTCTTCCTAGGTTGGAATCAGGCAGAAGAGTGTGTCGCTCAAAGCCGTCTGGGTAAGTAAAAGAAACGGACAAACTTTGGTTCCGCCCTCAAGCTTAGAGAGATGAGTCGGAGAAAGAAAGATAAAGATTTGCCAAACTGCGCCAGCCCAAGGTTAAAATTCTGTTGTTGTTCAACAACATGATATGATTACCTCTTTTCAGCTTTCTTCTGATAGACTCTAAGAGAAATCACTGCAAAACCTTTATGATGATTAAATGTAACATTTCTGTTTTATAATCAGTTCTGAACCTTCTGTTAGTCCAGATAAATGAAAGATTTTCTCAGGAAAAATCCACAATTATATTACTGTATTCACAGTAAAATAAAAGAGTGATTTACATAAAAACACAATGAAAACATTGTAATCAGATTCTCTGTGATTTTTTTTATACCATTATAAATCTTTAAGGCATGATAAAAGAAAATAAGTGGTTCCATTTTCCTGTGACAGGCATTATCATGATTTAACAAATGCATAAACATTCTTGGTTAAACAACAAATGAATCACGAACAGAAGAGATTGTTCTGTCCATTATCTGATTAAGAGAACTGAGGAGTTCTCTTCCACGGTTGGAATGACCTGTCATGGCCTAAACAGAGTTCAGTTTGTGACAGAGTTCCTGTCCTCTCGTCAGGCCTGTCCGAGGCCTGCTTTGAGGCAGTAAATCTTGTTTCTTCACTTGAGGTGACCCCTACCACACAAACTGGGACACAGACCCAGCACATGGATACAACGGGTGAGCAGCACCGACTACATGGTCCTGTTACCCCACACTTGGTTTATATGTGGTTGTGTGTGACACACAGAACATTAGCCTTAATCTCTCTCTCTCTCTCTCTCTCTCTCTCTCTCGTTGTTGTATTAACAGTGAGTGCGCAGGAGGAAGCTTGTACGAGGGAAGAGAGTGTGTGTGTGCGAGCAGATCTCTATTTCCACTCCCAGTAATTATGGCAGGATAATACCACATATAATCGTGTACTTTGTTAGTTTATCATTGATGATGTATGACAAGTATGACCTCACCTAACCTGATTTCATTTCATTTGTTGCATAAACATGTCTAAATGTCTATATGTAAAATTGCAATCTAAAACATTTGTTTCAACTTTTACCACCATCACCTGCTTTTTAACTGCTTCTTTTTTTTAAGAAACTTTTCTCCCGTACATGTCTTTAAATGCCAAAGAAAACATTAGAAGGTGACTGTTCAGGTGGTTTCTTTTGTTGTTTTTATTTGTAAAATATTCTTAGAGCACATTAACACAATTTTCTGACTCATTCAGAAACAGACATTGTGATGGGTGAGAGAAGGTCTCCATCAATGCGCTCCGTCTTCCAGTCTCCTATCTTTAATTATTAATGTTACACTGACACACCGCATGCTGAGTGAAGCAAGTGTTATGAGTCACAGAAATATGAGCAATCCTGTTTAACAAGAGAGGAGGATATGAAATTAATTGAATTTTTGAACTCTAAAAACCTGATATAACAAAAGATCGGGTGCAAATCACATTACACTGAAACTCACTGAAACACATCACTGGTTTGGATGCTGCCCCCAATTTTATTTCCCCTTTTTTGTTATTAATTTTGAAATTAGGTTACTGAATGAAACTTGCCAGGGTCATATTTTTGATTTGCTGAATGTTACCCTCACCATCTGTTTGATTATTATTCTATTCAGACTTCTTCACAAAGAGGGTTTTTAAGGATATTAAGCTCTGCCGCATTTTATTTATCTGGGTTGTTTGGATTCTGATTAGTATTTTGATGATGCATTTCTTCTTTATCATTCAGTAAATAGAGCCTGGATTAAATTCCTGTCATTGTGTCTCAAAGCCCACAGCTACATATATGAAACTGCGAAACACATGGCTAGATAGAGAAAACCTGTCAGGGTTCACATCCCAGAGTTACTTACTTCAATTACCTGAATATTGAGCAAACCTCTTGTTGGGACAAATCAATACTGCCTTTTTGTTTCTGCAGCTGCAAAAATTAAACTTCCATTACCTTTCTGTTTCAGGGGAACAGTGGAGGCTCGCTTTGTTTACATCTTCGTTTTGGGCATCCTCTTCTCGGGCACCAAGGACCTGCTGCGATCCCAGATCCTTACAGCAGATGCCAAACTAAAGAGCCGAGGATTATGGGAGATATACAGCGGATTGGTTTTGTTGGTTGCACTCTTGTTTCGTGCTCACAACCTGCCAGTACTCTGCTGCTGCATTTTGATCCAGACTCTAATGGCTCAATTTATCTGGAAGAAGCTCCAATACGATGCAGCCCAGACCACCATCATGCACTACTGGTTTGGTCAAGCCTTCTTTTACTTCCAGGTAAGAAACAAAACCAGGGTGTATCATCCTGACCCTGTGTGTGGGACTAAGTGACATCTAGTGGAGGAACTGGTAGTTGTAACCAACTAATAATAGAAACACAAGTTCCAACTTTACTTTTACTCTTTGTCAGTGGTGAGCAGCGCTAATCCAAAAATTAGCTCCGCAATTTCTAAAGCGCTTATGTAAATATTTAGGTACGCAACCTCAAAAGTGCTTATGCCATAGAAAATCTATCGGAAGCTAAGATTTTCAATTTGACATTTAATAGCTGGCAATAATTCATGTACAATATATGCACAACACTGAGAACTAGCGGTATATGAACCATTTTACAGCTTATTCCTACAACTGCCGATTGCTGGGGATGTGAGTTCCTGAAACAGACCTTTAGCTCCTGGTGTAAAAATCAAAAAGTTGTTGAGGATTGCTAGTTCGGCTGATTCTTTGTCTTTTTCTTTTGTTTGTTGTAGATTTTTCATTAAAGAAGCATCAGTAAAGTAATTTTAAAACTGTTTATTGGAAAACTGAAGCAATGCATTCTGGGTACCTGACGGATTTGATTTGTGACGGGAAACGAAAGCACGGATTACAGGAAACTATCTTCCCTTCAAAATAAGAGCTTGGATTTTAAAGTTTTCCATGTAGTTGCTCCAGTTGACCACTAGATGTCAGTCTTCATCAGCGTAACATCTTTAAATCATTTCTGCGTCTCTAACCCCGTCGCTTCGACCAATTACGTCAAGTGTTGAGCTCCAGCGTTTAAACGCCTTTTTTTTTTAAAAAAGGAGCTCTGATTGTAAAGTAAAATAGATCAATAAATAAAAAATTTTTCTATGTATTACAAACGTTAACTGTTTTAGCTGGGACAGGGAGTTCTAAACACTGCCTTCCAGCTACGTAAGCAGACACAAAGCATTGTGGGAAATGTCTGTAAAATGAGAACCGTGACCGAAAGCAACAGTCAACAAGGATGTACACCTTTCCAATAAGTGTGTTTATCTGGGAGGGGTGCTGTTGGATAGATCACGTGTGTTGTGATTCAGTGACAGCCATACCTTCCGTTGTTCAAGATAATGATGACTGGTAGATAATCAGTTATTAGCGATACTGCCTTTTAATTTTAGAAAGCGCAAATCCGCTTATGAATTATTAAAATTAGTAAGACCGCTAAAGCGTAAATGAAATATTTAGGTCCGCAATTAGCAGATTTGCACTTTAGAGGGCTGGTGCCCACCACTGCTCTTTGTCAATTTGGGTTCATTTAAAATATATAAATTTATGGTTTGATCAATTCTGCCATTAATCTAGATACAAATACAGTAATTAAATTTTCTATCAGCAGAACAATACATCTAATATAAATTTAATATTAGATGAACGATATGTTTAAGTGATGCTGTTTTGTCAAACTTGTCGCTATTTTTCACAAACAGCTGTGTCTAAATAGCTTGAAGAAGGCTTACTGAAACTCTGCTAAATTGTAGAAGCATGTTTTGCTTGAGAACATAAATTCTAATTTTACAGGATTTGCCCCACTTGAAGGCTATCAAATCATTTTCATGCAGTTGGATTAGTGGTGAACAAATAAATTACAGTAGAGATCTAGTAAGTATTGTGCAGGTTTTGTTACAGATTATGCATAAATAAATCAGCTATATTAGTTTAATAGTTATCCATGCATAAATAATCATCTGTGTTCAGATTATGAGCACAGATCTGGTTTTGTCAAACACAGTCCTTCACACTCAGAATTTTATATACTCTGACCACAAGGATAAATGTAATTTTAAATTTGAGGCTCAAACAATTTCTTTCAATCACATTTTATATTAACTACACATTATTGTCTTATTAGAACATTAATAAATGGTTAGTTAACCTTAAAATGTAATTAGGAATGATTCATATTTAATAACCTATAAATGGATACATTTATTAATGCTTTACATAAAGGCTAATTACTTCCAAAACCAACAAACTCATTTTTATTCATGCTTAATAACTCATGAACTAACCATTCTATCTAATGTGTAAGTAAATCATATAACACCATGTGTTAGACATGTATTAAGGGTTAGAGAACATTTGAATTGACTGTAATAATCCTGCTGTGCATTAATAAATAAGGCAGCTACTAATAGTTAAGTCTTTTTGTGAACCCTTCTAATGTGAAGACAATGCTGTGTTTTTATTTATAGCTTATTATGGATGAATAATCCTTAATTAATGATGTTATCAATGTTGCAATTTCCCCTGGGGATCAATAAAGTGCTCTGATTCTGATTAACTAACATTTATTAATGATAAGTTAAGTTATACAGTGCCATTCTTTTTACTATGTGCAGTGATTACACAACAATATAACATTTCTTCCAGGGAAGCTAGTCTATATGTTGCACAATAAAACTTGTATGTATATTTTCCATTTAAGTTGTAAAAGTTATTTTTCAGTAACTTTATTAAAACCCTATCGTAGATGCTTGAACTGGAGTTTTTATGTTAAATTATGCAAAAATAGCCTGTTTTTATCAGATAAAGCTGTGTTTACTGACGCACATTCATAACATGGCCTCAGTGGCTCAAACTGCAAACAAGGTGGTGGAGCTGCTCTGCTCAGAGATTAAAAGCACAAACATCTGGGCTGCTGGGAAGTCAGCAGCAGCTCAGAGGAATCATGAAAAAGCAAAGGACCTGTTCTTTAGATCGTTGAGCTTCTAAAGTCCCACATCTTTGTACTTAGGTATTGTTTATACAGGTTTTATTTTCTCTGAACCTTAGTCAAATATAGAAATGATTTTTGTGTGTGTGTGCAGGGAAACTCAAACAGCATAGCCACTGTCGACATTTCAGTTGGCTTTGTTGGACTAGAAAGCTACATTGAAGCCCCGGCTGTCTTTTTAACAGCTGTCAGCACCTACGCAGGTCCTCTGCTGTGGGCGTGTCACCTGGTCTGCTACCTGAGCTCAGAAAATGAAAGGTAAGTGACCTTTAGCTTGAATGGGACCATAAACTCTAAATTTTATATATATTTATTAGGCATGCAACGAAACAGAAAATTCACAATTCGGTTCGGTTCGATACTTTAGTCTCACGGTTCGATATTTTTTCAATACAAAAAAGAGAAATGTCCATGCCCCTTTTAACTTGTAATTTATTTAAATTAATTATGAACATTTGTTTAACCTCAAAAGTACAGTTTTTAAATGAAATGTTGCTGAAACAACAGGTTTCTCAGTGGATACAGAACCTAAAGC